AGATATTTACGTAAATATCTTAGAAAATAGAGGTCGTATAAAAAATTTTTTCAAACAAAAGTTGTTTGCTTTTTCACGTAGAATAAAATGCCGTAATAAAAAATATGTATTTCTATCTAAAAAAGCAAAGTTGATCTTGTCCTGACCTTGGCGACGTCACCTTAGGTCAAATAACTACTGTCATTAAATGCGACTTTTTAAGCCTTACAACTTTTATTGGAAACATTTTTATCTAAAATGCTCCCCCGCCGAGTTTTCTTGCCGTTGCCGAACTTATGGGACACACTGTATATACAAAATATATTATATATTTCAGCTTTCGTGGACACATCGTGGGCGTCTTTTGAACAGCAACGCGAAACGCCCCAACAACGATAGGGGCTACTTATTGACGTCGAGTAACGAGTGGTTGAATCTCACCCTGATCGATGTGATATCTACCGACAAGGGCGATTATGTCTGCCAAGCGAAGAATCCCGGCGGTGACGCCGAAAAAAACGTGACACTGATTGTAATGGGCGACGCGTTGGGCAAGGAGAACATAATCAGCCTGCCATTAGCAATCGGACTCGGCGTCATCGCCTTGTGCCTGCTGATCATCACAGTGACTCTTTGCATGTACTATTGCCGTCGTCGCCGGACCAGGCACGACGAGAAAGGTCACGAGGCGGCGTCCATGGAACACCAAGGTCTCGGCGAGCAGGAGAAATCCCTCATCACCACAATCAATCCTGTGGTGAAACCGCCGCGACGCTATGAAGCTTCGTCGGTAACGTCGCACGGCACGGAAATGACGGAGTTGAATCGCACGTTGCTCGACAACGATTCAGTTTTCGGTCAGTATACAGCCTACATTACTAAACAGTGTGCAGCTAGGTGCTAGCGAGAAACGAGCCATTAGTTGGACAGGCGATTACCTCGAAACGCGCGAATTTCGCGAAACAACGACGGATGTTAACTCAAGGCCGATAGGGTGCATCAACAAGGCTTTGTTGTCGATACGGGTCTTCAATGGACCGCGTAACATCGATCATTTCGTCGACTAGTATCCTTCTCCCGAGGGTGAAATGACCACTATACGTATACCGTTGTTTATATAATGTACAAATAACATGTGTGCGACTCGTGCATGTATGTATACGTTTGAGCGCGTGCACATCTATGTAATCGCGAATCGATTTGTTCCGTGTCGCGCGAACCATCTTGCGAATTCCGTAACAGTTGAACGAGGTGTCATCGATCTTGAGATAACGAGTCCACCAGCTAGGAGACTAATGAAGATCCGTTAGGGACGCTTGTGATACCTGGACATTCCTTAATATAACATCGTGTTATACAACAACGCGAAGGCATTTGTCACTTGTGTTTGACTGCTGGATAAGATCGTTTTGTATAATTTGTATTGATAGTGCGCGGTAATATTTTCCGTAAAGGACAACAATAGGGAGCAAATTTTGATTTAGCTTCAGAAAAACTCGAGAATATTAATTACGAATTACACAACAAATTTGCATACAATAGCAGCCATCTACTTAAGGGGACTGGAGGTTTAGATTGCCTGAAAATCGTGCTTGTTTTTTCACAATTTTTTATGACAAATTGAATGAATATGAAAAAGTGTTATTTTGATGTGTATTTATACAACATATCGTGTGGTTTACACGATAACGATTATGGAAATTTTCTTACTTAAAATTCAGCTTAATTAAACTACCGAGAATCAAGATATTACTGCAAAATTATGAGTTTGGAAAGAAAAACGAAATATATTTTAACTGCATGTACCATACACTTATTATTATTAATTTTGATCATCAAAATTATATTTTTCTTTTCTTTATATGTTGTATAAATACACGTTAAAATAACATTTTCGCATATTCATTCAGTTTGTCATAAAAAATTGTGAAAAAACAAGCACGATTTTCTGATCCTTCAGTCCCCTTAAGGACAATTGGACTTTAGATGAATGTTGCCGTGATATTTGTAATAATTTATTCATTTTTCAAATAAATTACACGAAGAAAACTTCTGTAGTTGTTACATTACACATATTCTATAGAGTTCAAGAGAACATTTATATGATTTAAATAGATATGGCATTAAAAGTTATTATATGCCCATCTGTACAGTTTTCACAGTCATAATCCTTATGATACGTAATTTTCAGTTAGTACGTCCTCATATACATAGTTACCTCAACCAAAAGAATATTGTCTCTGTATTGTAGTTCTCTGTTGTAGTCTGCGGAACAAATACTATGGTTGAGAGATCCTTAGAGGATTTGGTTACGCTATACGCCAGTGAAAATATCGCTTAAAATATGTATTGACAAGCAAAAAAGACCAGTGCACTACTTCCAGAGTATTACGATCATTTTATATGCATAAGCGAAAAATAACATCAATATTTAGTTACGGCAATCATATTTAGACAAGTGATATCTTTAGTGTTTTTTCTGTGCATTGTTAAAGTCAAATTTTAACATAAAAAGCAAAAAAAAATCAAGATTTTATACAAAAGGGAAACTTCTATCAAAAGTAAAATACTATCAAAAGTTCTATCAAAGAATGTAGGAAATAAAGAAATAAGAGAAAATTTTTGGACAATATTACTTAGAGGAATATTACTTAGAGGAACAGTTAGTTTTATTAAACAAACTAGTTATTTTAAACAAAACAAAAAATCAAACAATTGATACGCAACAACTTAATAAACTAGGTATAATTAATTAATTTCAATATTTAGTATTGAATTTTTTCAATAACTGTTTCACACTTTCGTAATATTAAATCAATCAATTTCGCAATACGCTCAGCAGATATAAACGCGCACTTAACTTTTGTAATACTAAATAGTTGATTTAAATTTGTTACTTTCCTCTTTTTAATCACTTATAAAAAAACTTATAAAAAAACTCCGAAATATATTTTCTAAAACATTAATATAAACAAATTGATCAATAACGTCTTCTATTTTATATAATTTGTCTAATAACACCGTTTCGACTCATTGCACTCCACATAAAACACACAATCATAGAAATTTCTCCACCTCTCACTGCTGGTCGTATACATCTAATACTGAATTTTGCAATAACATACTCTCTAATATATGTTTTTCCATTAAAGCCATACTATTGAACTGCGATTCGTCAATAAAAATGACTTTTGCCCTTCAGCAAGTTCGATAGCGATATTTGTACGCAATGTTTAACCGAACTTTACTGTTTTTCTTTATTTCCTTTTTACATGGACGATTTTTCAATCCCATCAGTCCAAACTCACATTCAAACATTTCTTTTTACTGTTCTTCTATTAAAATCTTGAGTAATTTCGAAACACTCGCATTGAACATATGTCACAATTTTATACCGATCAGCTTAAAAACTGAAAACTTTTAAAAAATGTAACCTTAGTTGTGTTGCAACCATAAACCAAGAATATGATCTTTCTCCCTGTTGTTTTTTGAACTCGATGCTTGCGGGGCAGTTTCATAACACTTTCTGCGTTTTTTTTATTGACTATGTATTGTGTGAAGTACGGCAGTTTCAGCAAAATTGATTGATCTTTTAGAAATTTTACGAATATTTCACCTTTTTTTACACGAAGTACGTCGATACTAAAATTTTATTTATTGGTAATATTTTTATTTTCATCTACATTTATGATACATCAAAATCTATTGAAATATATATATATATATATACATATTTATTTATTTATTTATTACATAAGAATTTTATCCACATTTGTAATGCATCAAAATCTATTGAAATATATATATATATATATATATATATATATATATATATATATATATATATATATTTGTTATATAAGAATTTGTTGTAATAGAATTTAAAAGAAACGGATTCTTAATGTGGCAACGAATTAATCATAATGTTTAAATATCCAAAGCTATTTACAACTTACTGTTTACAAGCACATCTATATTCTCTATTTCATATCAAAATTGCATTAAGGATTTAGGTGTATTGGAAATTTTTCTTCACATATTAGACATGCTCTCTCTCAGAGCCTCGACAAATTAAAAGTTATAATACGTGTTACAATTATGTCTATGGAACTTGTACGTGTTCTCAAAGGGGAAAACATTTTTCGAAGGTCAAAAAACAATTCTTTTACAAGTGAACATTTTGTACAAAAACTGTGAGAGATTTATTTAAAGTTTTGTACACATAATATTTTATAAATCTAAATTATATATAGTAACTTTTGTATATAAAAATATTGATGAATATTAAAGATACCCCATTTCCGGAAAAATATCCGAGCATATATTATACATTGATCCCCACGATTTCACAATTTCAGTAAAATTAAACAGGAAAACGAAAAATATTAATCTATAAATATGTGAAATCAGAAGGATAAGAATTGGAACATTCTTTCAATTCTTTTAATTGTGTAAAAATTTTGGTAGAAAAATCGCCAAACAATTTGAGTTTTGCATAAAAATAGGAAGAAACTAACATATTTTAATTTCTTTAATTCTAGCTGTAAAGAGGGATATATATTGTGAACACGTATCCGTAAGCACAAGCCAATCAACTTATTAGTTTGTCTAAAATCGAGGGGGGTAATTACAAAAATATTGTTTTGAGAAAAATGCGTTTAAAGTTTTGCGTGCATGATGAAGATAAATTTTGAGTATTTCCGTGAATTTCACCTTAATCAGCGATTTCAAACTTATACATTCCTTCTTAGCTTATCAAACTCATGTTGAGCTTCCTTTTCATTTCTGAGCAGCACGAACTTCTTCGAAACGGTCGCTGAATAACAATCAACAAGCTCGAGATATACCTTATCCAAACTACCCGCAGAGTTAATTTTATCATATCACACGCGTTGACTAACAAATAATGATCTTTTGTTAATACTTGGAAAATTTACGTGGTAGTTTATATTTTTGTATTTATTTTAGCGAGTTTTATTTGTACATGACTGATTAAACACTTAAATCCAAATACTCTGTAGAATCACGCATATAAATACTTATAATATATTAGAAATAAAAGTTCTTTCATGGAACATACTTACCTTTTCTCATTCTGATCTTCAAATTAGATAAACAAGCCATTATTTCGATTATTGTACTCTCGAGATTTGTCTCCCGTCCGTGCTCTGTCTCAGATAATCAGTTGTAACTTTGCCAACTTTCCGAATTTCTTCATGAAAATTTGGGGGCATATATACTTAAAAATATATACTTTTAGAATATGCAATAAAAAATCGATTTTTTTTTTAGCAAAAGGTGTTTTCCCTTTAAATAACTGGCCGCAACTCTTGCAATATAATTGCAAAATAAAGTAATGACGACAATAAGGCTAACCCAAGTTTGCGTGAGTAAATATGCGAACCACCGGTAACGGGATATTCTTCGATGAAATTTACACACGGAGAATCACACGCGATAGCATTCCGACTATCGAAACGTACCGTAGTATCGGGATCACACACAGAGATAAGATTATTCCCCGAGTTTGCACGATGACGCGATCTCGATCTTATAGGCAGGTTTAATCGACTTGGTAGCGCACGTCAAAGCGTACGTGATGTACATCGATAAACGTTACGCTCGACCAACGACGTTCGGGGAAACGTAGTTACATTTTTCAGTCAAATTGACAAAGCACGACCCCGAACGCGATCGTATCGCGACTAATCCGATTAAGAGCACTCGCGTCCACGCCCGTACGAAGCCTCTGCCATTTCCGGACGTCGCGGAGCATCGTCACGCCAATGTTAGACCGCAGCAACGTCCTGGCGATCGTTGCTTCGCGTTGCCGTGCGTGTTGCGTCCATTCGAACATTTCGAGCAAGTTTTTTTCGCTTTTTTTCCTCAACTTTTCTCTCTCTCTCTCTCTCTTACATTTTCTTTTTTAACGTTCGCCCTTCTCTTTTGTTCATGTTCACGCAGCTGACGGCGTCGGGAGCGGTGTCGTCGGCGGAGTAGGCGGCAACGTAGGCGACGACGAGAGGGAGCGAGCCACGCCGGAATTCGACGGGGGTGGCGGCGGAGGTGGCGGTACGCTGCCACGTGGTGGCTCAGGTTATCATTATCGGCAATATCCGCCGGACTTGTTGGCCTTCTCCGGCGGGCGCGGTGCGTCGCCGACTAGCCAGGCGTCGACGGTGCCGGACAACACGCGTATGCCTAATCAGCACGCTGCAGCGATGACGCCGGTGACGACGACGACGGCCGGGGTACCATCTTACGGCTCACTGCCGTCAGCCGGTGGCCAGTATCCAGCCGCTTTCAAGACGCTGCCGCACAGCCGCAGCGTCACGCCGTACGGCCTCGGCCCGTCGTCGTCGTCCTCGCCGATAGCGCCGGTACTGCCGCGTCACGGCTACGTGACGATCCCACGACGACCACGGGCACCCAGCTGGAGCAGCGGACCGCCGACGTCTCCCATCGACCGCCTCGAGCCGGTCTACGATAACCTGGGCCGCCGCACCACTGCGGACGGTAGCTCGGAGTTGTCTCTCAACAAGACTTCCGAACCAATGTCCTCGTCTATGAGAGGCCGACCACTCCCGGGCATGCCAGGCTCGCACTACGGTACGATCCAACGCAGTACGCCTAATATCCTGACAAGTAGCTCACTGGATCGATCGGCGCCGGAAGGTGCAGCCGAGTGGCCGATCAATCTAACGGACGAGAGCATGGAAGGCGGTCTTGCGTTATTGGCGCAGCAACAGAACGCCAGCAACACTCTCGGCAGGAAGGTGCCGCCGAGACCGCCGCCGAAACCCAAGAAGAAGTCCGCCAACGGACCGCTGTACGAAGATGAGGGCGAAGACGGCACGGAAGTATGATCCCACGGGCATCGTCCGCGATGAGGACGGCTGGTCGTAGTCCGCCACGACGGGGTGCGCGCGACCACATTTACAATAAACCGGTAGTGCCTTCCGAGAGACCTTCCGCGCGCGCGGCTCTTTCGCTGCACTCACAGTGAGGAGCGGTCACTCGGAGAACGAACGGGAGTCGTAAGGAAGTGCTTCAGAAGAGGCTTCCAATCCCTCGACGACGAGATTTACGGAGTGAGACGGACGATAGCCGTGTTGTGTGACTCTGATGCCGTAGACGATGACTCTAACGAGGGAACGCGTACGGTTTGTTCCCTTCACCTTTCCTTTCCCGTACCTTGTAAGTTATTTATTGAACCACACGAGGTATCCGAAGCATCCGCATTTGGGATCCAATGGATCGCAGTTCGCGCCAGTTATTTTTTTACGCGAATCGATCGACAAGCGTTCGCTCCGTCTCATTCCTTGTCTCCAATCGTGGGTCTATCTTTTTCCTTTGTCGATTTTTCTTTTCTTTTTTTTTTTTTTTTTTTTTTTTT